CCTTGCACACATAAGGTTTCTCCCCAGTGTGAGTTCTTTCATGTATCTGACAATAATGGTGTGTAGTGAATGCTTTTCCACATTCCTTGCACACAAAAGGTTTTTCCCCACTGTGAGTTCTTTCATGTCTTTGACAATATTGATGTGTAGTGAATTCTTTTCCACACTGTTTGCACATATAAGGTTTCTCTCCACTATGAATTTTTTCATGTCTATGACGATCCTTGGATGTAGGGAATGCCTTTCCACACTGCTTGCAATTATAAGGTTTTTCCCCTGTGTGAATTTTATCGTGTATGTTATAAGAACTCTTTGTAGGAAATGCTTTTCCACATTGCTTGCATACATAAGGTTTCTCCCCTGTGTGACTTTTTTCATGTATGTTATAAGAACTCTTTGTAGTGAATGTTTTTCCACATTCCTTGCACACATATGGTTTCACCCCAGTGTGAGTTCTTTCATGAATTTGACAAATACGGTGTGTAGTGAACGCTTTTCCACATTGTTTACATACATAAGGTTTCTCCCCAGTGTGAGTTCTTTCATGTCTTTGGCAGTGACTGTGTCTACTGAATGCTTTCCCACATTCCTTACATACATATGATTTCTCCCCAGTGTGAATTCTTTCATGGCGTTGACAGGTAATGTGTACACGGAATGCTTTTCCACACTGCTTACATACATAGGGTTTCTCCCCAGTGTGAATTCTTTCATGTATTTTACAGTGAGTCTGTGTGCTGAATGCCTTCCCACATTGCTTACATGCATAGGGTTTCTCCCCAAAGTGAATTCTTTCATGTATTTTGCAGGTAATCTGCATAGTGAATGCTTTCCCACATTGCTTGCACACATAAGGTTTTTCTCCTGTGTGAATCTTTTCATGTATGTTATAATAATACTTTGTAGTAAATGCTTTTCCACAATGCTTACATATATATGGCTTCTCCCCAGTGTGAATTCTTTTATGTCTTTGACAGTTACTGTGTGAGCTGAATGCTTTCCCACACTGCTTACATACATAGGGTTTTCCACCAGTGTGTGTTCGTCTATGGTTATGAAATGTAGGCTTATCAATAAATCCCTTTCCACACTGCTTACATACATAGGGTTTCTCCTCCATGTGAAATCTTTCATGAATTTTACAACAACTTTGAGTATTGAAAGTTCTCCCACATTGCTTGCATACATATGGTTTCTTACCAGTATAAATACTTTCATGGATCTGAATACCACTGGGAGTCCTGGAGAATTTCACACTTTTCTTACCTACAATGGTCTTCTCTCCAGGGTGAGTTCTTTCACTATGTTCAGAGTAGGTTTTCCCACATTGCTTATATTGATAGGACTTCTCTCCAGTCTTTGTCATTGCATGCTTCAGAAACGATAGGAAATCACTGTAGGTTTGTCCATATTCATTACATTTACTCAGCTTATCATCCAATCCCAAATACTCATCTGTCTTCAGGCTAATGTGAGGTAAAATGGGCACATTTTGTGATAAATGCCCAATCAGGGGCCTTCTACAAGTAAGGCTTTCAGCTAGTTTTAAAGAAGCTTGTTGCATGTCCACATTAGCATCTGGAGACCAAAGGAGTATGTTTCCATATTGACTCCAGTATTTATATTGATACCATTTTGTTACCTCTTCATTACTGAAAAGAAAAAAAAAAAAAGAACAAAAATATCAATCACCAAAGAAAGGTCTCCATATCAATAGTTTACCAGGACAGGTTTTCATTTGATACCTGCTAAAATCTTATGGGAATAAACTGGCAGAATACCCTGAAGGATACCACCAAAACACCCATTCCCTAAAGGATGGTATTCATCCAGGAATTTTAAATTGATAAATATTTGGAATACTTAAAGTCATTTCATTTATGTCATTGATACATATGAGGATCACATGTTGATCATTTTACCACTTTTGCCATCATCCTCCCCTTCTCTCCTTATGCTGTCATCTTTCCCATCTCCAACAAGTCAGCTTTTCTATTCTCTATCACTTCTTAATTTTATTCCCTAATTTAAATTTTAGTATCTCACATAAAAGAAAAAATGTGTGATAATTCATGTTCTGTGCCTGACTTATTTCATTTAACATTATAAGATGGAGTCCCATTTGGGTTTTTTTTTAGTCAAAAAATATGGTATTATTCCCTGTGGCTGAGATTTAAACAAAGGACTTAACACTAAATTACATTTCTAGATTTGTTATTTCTTATTTTGAGAGTCTCCTTGATCATTAATTTGGTGAGTATGAACTTCATGTTGTCATCCTGCTCACTCAGCTTACCAGCACGCTGGGATTATAAGAAGGTACAACTATGTTGAGCCTATCCTAAAAGCTCTTTATCCATGTATTCCATGATAGGCATCTAGGCTATTAGGAGAACTTAGGTATTGTGAATTATTTCCAGAACTTCGGTATTGTGAATATCACACATACCCTGCTTTGAACATGTCTATGCACATACAACTAAGATACACTAATTGTAAATTATTTCAAAGTATACACAGGGAGATTTGCCTGGTTCATATGCAAACTAGCATGTTTACATTTGAAATACTACATATTGATTATCAAATAGTTCTATTTTGTATTCATATAAAATACAATATATGAGGGCGTCTTCTAGGAATTTTAAAAAATGATACATCCAGTTCTCTGGAGGATGTTTTGAAAACACCAATTATTACACTAGCATCAATTTATCTTTTGAACATTGATACCAGGACAGCAATGTTTTAGATAATGTACATCTTATATTCAGATATATAAACAAATAGATAACTTGAAGAAAGTTTACTATATAGGAATATTTCTGTATTCAATGTCAGATTATACAAAATCAACCTGTATGCATGTCACGAGAATTTTTATAAGATTCAATAAATGTCAACTTAACCGCATTTATCTAGTTTCCTTGTTTGTAGTATTTCTGCTTACATACTGACTCTTAGGGACTATTCCTTCTCCTTGCGAATGCAAATTACCTTAGATTTCTTGAGCAATTTTTGTATTCTTCTTCAATTTGCTGGTTGTCCCAGGTCTTTCCTGAATTGTAGCCACAGAAATACAAAAGTCACTACATCATTATACAACAATTAGCAGATAGCAGTTAGATTCATGGTTTAATGTAAACAGGCGTGACATGTTTTTCAAAATGTTTCTAAATTCTATATAATACATCACTATCAGTAAGAATCAATGTTCTCTGATTGCATAAATGAGAAAACAATACCATCCTTACCTATAGCACTCATATTCATAAATGTTTCCCACATCACATCTCTGTAGAGCTTCTTTTGGGATGAATTCAGCAAAGCCCACTCCTCCATGGTGAAATTCACAGCAACATCCTCCAAGGAAACTGGCTCCTAAATAATCACAGATATATTTCCTGAAAAAGGTTGAGATTCACACCTTGAGATATCTGAACTCCTCTTGTGAAAGCTGAACTGAGCTTGATTTATTCAAATATTAACTCCTTGTCTTTGGTTCTGACAGATTATTGTCTATACCTCTTCAAATCTGACTATTCATAGAATTAAGCCATTCTTTCTTTGATTGTACTTAGGTGACATGAACCCAACAGAATGAATCCACCAGGCAATGCATGCAATTAAATTGAGGGGAAGAAATGAAACCCAATAACAGGAAAATAACATGACAAAGAAAAGTGAATGCATATCAGTTATAACCATCAATGATAAAGGTCTCAATTTAGGGGAGCTTTGATGACTATACCCCACCTTCCCACACCCTCGCAGGGGCCAAGGTGAGCCCTGGTTCACTTTGGGAACCTCGGTGAGCCACCCCTCTCCCCCACCGGCATGGGGCACAGTTTGAGCCTTGGACAGCCTTGGGAGCCTCGCTGACCATGCTATACCCACCCTGCACCCTTGCAGCAGCCAAGCTGATCCTGTGGGAACCAGGCTGGGCTCTGGACAGCTTCGGGAACCTCAGTGACCATGCATGCCCATCCTCCCCACACCCTCACAGGGGCCAAGTTGAGCCCTGGACAGCTTAGTGAAGCTACATGAGCCACCTTCCCTCCCTCACCAGCATGGGGGACAGGCTAAGCCCCAGACAGCTTCGGAAGCTTTGGTGACCATATCCCACCCACCACACCCTTATAGGAGCAAAGCTAAGCCCAGGACAGCTTCTGAACCGTTATTGACCATATCCTCACACCTTCCCCGCTAGTGTGGGAGCCAAGCTGAGCTCTGGGCAGCTTTTGGAAACCTCAGTACACCATGCTGACTCCTTCCCCACTTGAGGGGGAACCATGCTAAAACCCAGACAGCTTGGAGAGCCTTGGTGACCATGCCTGCACTCCCTGGACAGCTGGGGAAACCTCAGTGAACACATCCTACCTTGCACACCCTTGCAGGAGCCAAGTTGAGACCCAGATAGCATCAGGAACTTCGTGACCATACCCTCACACATCCCCTACTAGTGTGGAAGTCATGCTAAGACCTGGATAGCTTTGAGAGCCTCGGTAACTGAGCACCCACCCCTTCCCCACCAGCATGGGCCCCAACTGAGCACCAGAAAGCTTCAGGATCAATGGCTACTGCACCCTATCTCTACACACCCAACAGGAGCCATGCAGAGCACCAGGGACATTCAGGTCCTTGCCACGCCTCTCCCATACCACTGGGGGAGTGAGGACAAGCTCCAGGAAACCTCCAGATCTATCTTTCTTTCTTTCTTTTTTTCTTTCTTTCTTTTTTGGTACTGGGAATTGCACTGAGGACCTTGTGCTTGGTAGGCAGGTGCTTGTGCTGATGAGCTATATCCCCGGCCCCCAGATCTTTCAAAATGAAAAAACAAAGGAGTAAAGTGGAATTTCAGACCTCCACCCAACCCAGAACAAGTCCATGAGACATCAAAACAGATGAGCTTGGAAGTCATATACCTGAAATTTCTCAAATGATAGCAACTGAAGTAAAGAAACAACTCCATCAAGCCACAGAAGAGACATCAGATCAAATATAATCTCTCAGGTAAAAAAAGAAATGACAATAGTGAAAGAATTTCTCAGCACATCCAAAGAAGACTTGCAAAAAAAAAGAGCAAAAAGAGCATAAAAATGATGTAAACCTTGAATGAACTATATAGGAAAGAATTAGAATGCATAAAACAGACTCAAACAGGCATCTGGGAAATTAAAAATTCAATCGAAAGGTGACAGAACCACTCGAATGAAGCTGAAGATAGACTTTCGTACTTTGAAGACAGCATTGCAGCTAACAATTGTGAAAGGAAGGATCTCTTAAAAATAACAAGGAACCAGGAAATAATTCAACAGCTGCAAGATGATGTAAAGAAAAACAATATAAGATTAATAGGGGTCACAGAAACAGCAAGAGTCAACACAAATGACATGAAAAGACTATTTGCACAAGTAATAGTGGAAAATTTTCCAAGCATGGAAAAAGAATCTAACATACAATTAAATGAGGCACATGAAAATTCAATTAGGAATGACCAAAATAAATCCACACATAGTCATATAAAAATCATTATCCCAGAAATTCAGCAAAACAGCAGAATATAAAAAGTTGTTAGAGAAAAGAAATGGATCACTTCTAAAGCAAAGCCCATCAGAACCACAGCAGATTTCTCAACACAAACCATCAAGTCAAGAACAGTTTAGAGTGAAGTATTTTAGGTCCTGAAAGAACACAACTTCCAACCCAGGTTGATGTACCCTGCAAAACTATCCTTTGAAATTAATGAAGAAATAAAATACTTCAACGATAAAGAACTGAAGAAATTCATGAGTGCCAAACCAACCTTATAAAGAGTACTAATAGACATTCTAGAAAGAGATGAAAATGGCCACAATTTCAAGAACAACAATACAAAGGAACCACCTAGCAGAGCAAGCAATTAAACAGAGAGTAAGAGTAGGAAACCAATAGCAGATAAATAACATGACAAAGATAAGCCAATACATTTCAGTTGTAACCATTAATGTAAAAGGTCTCATTTCACCAATAAAAAGCAGACTGGCAGAGTGAATCAAGAAACAAAATCCAACAATATCCTGTATACAAGAAACATAATTAATTCCAAAGGAAATTCATAAACTGAAAGTCACAGGATGGAAACCAATTCTCCATGCGACAGTAACACAGAAAAAAGTATGGGTAGCTATACTGTTTTCAGACAATGTCAACTTCAAACCAAGAACAATCAAAAGAGATTAACAATCATAAATATTTATGCACCAAATACAGCAGCACCCAAATATATGACAGATTTTAACAGATGTGAAATATCAAATAAGCAGTAACACAATCCTAACAGGGGACTTTCACACCCCGTTGTCACAAGCAGATAAAATCAACTAGACAAAAAATCTGCAAAGAAATAATAGAATTAAACCAAACTTGTAAACAAATGGACTTAGTAGATCTTTATAAAGTGTTCCACTAAACATCAGAATATACATTCTTCTCAGCTGTATATGAGATGTTCTCTAACATAGACCATATACTAACACACAGAACATGCTTAAGTAAATGCAAAATATTGAAATTATCCCATGCATACTATCTGACCATAGTGCAATGAAATTGGAAATTAATGGCAAAAGAAATCACAAAAACTCCATAACCACATGGAAATTGAGTAACACCTTCCTGAACAACTAATGGGTCACAGATTAAATTAAAGAAAAAATTAAACAATATTTATAATCAAATGAAAATGGAGATGCAACTTACAGGAATCTGTGGGATGCACTGAAAGCAGTCCTCAGAGGGAAATTTATAGTGGTTAAGTCACACATCGGGAAAACAAAACAAGCACAAATAATCTTATGCCACACCTCAGGCTTTTAGAAAAAGAAGGGCAAGTCAAGCCCAAAACCCAAAGAAGGCAGGAAACTATAAAGAGCACCAATTCATACAATGAGGACAAAGAAAACAATACAAAGAATTAATGAATTGAAGAGTTGTTTCCTTGAAAGAATAAATAAAATAGATAAACCCCTGGCCAAACTTCTAAAAAAAAGAAAAAAACCTCAAATTCATGCAATAAGGAATGAAAAGGATGAAATCACTACAGAACCTGTAGAAACTTAGAAGAATCAATAACTACTTTGAAAATCTTTATTCTCATAGGATGGAAAACACAGAAAATGGACAGATTCCTAGATACATATTAATTACCAAAGCTAAATCAAGAAGACATAAAAATGCTGAACAATTCAATATCAGCCAATGCAATTGAAAATGTAATAAACTTACTGACAAAGAAAAGCCCAGGTCCTGATGGATTCACAGCTGAATTCTACAAGAAATTTAGACAAGATTTAATACCAATTCTTTTTTTTTTTTTTTTTTACCACCAATTCTTCTCAAACTCTTTAATAAAATTGAAAGGGAAGGAGTTCTCCCTAAGTCATTCCTAGAGGCAAGTATTGCTCTGACAGCAAAACAAGAGAAAGACCCAACCAAAAAAGAGAACTACAGCCCAATCTCCCTAGTGAATATACATGCAAAAATTCTCAATAAAATACTAGCAATGACAATGCAGAAAATTATAAACAAGATTATACATCATGACAAAGTAGGATTCATCCCAGGAAAGCAAGGATGGTTCAATATACACAGATCAATTAATGTATTACAGCATGTCAATACAGACAAAGACAAAAATCACATGATCATATCAACAGAGGCAGAAAAAGCTTTTTATAAAGTCCAACATTCATTCATGATAAAAACTTTACAGAAAATAGGAATAGATGGTCTTTACCTCACTCTTATAAAAGCCATCTGTGACAAACCAACAGCCAACATCATACTAAATGGACAAAAACTGAAAGCTTTCACTTTAAAATCAGGAACAAGACAAGAATGTCCACTGTCACCACTCCTATTCAATATAGTTCTGGAAAGTTTAGCCAGAGCAATTAGACAAGAGAGAGTTAAAAAAAGGAATAAGGACAGGAAAGGAAGAAGCGAAATTATCATTATTTGCAGAGGACATGATACTCTACATAGAAGACCCCAAAAGTTCCACCAAAAGTCTTATAGGTTTAATAACTGAATTCAGTAGCATAGCTGTACACAAAGTCAACACTCAAAAACAAGTATCATTCCTGTGCACAAACACCAGAAACACTGAGAGAGAGATTAGGGAAACCACATCTTTTATAATAGCTTCTAAAAAATACTTAGGAATCAATCTCACAAAGGAAATAAAAGATGTATACATTGAAAATTGGGGCTGGGTATATAGCTCAGTGGCATAAGCACCTGTCTGGCAAGCGCAAGGTCCAGAGTTTGATTCCTGATACCAAAAAAAAAATTTTTTAAATATATTAAAAAAAATAAAAAGTATGTTTAAAAAAAAAGAAAATTACAGTAGTCTGAAAAAAAG